GTCCCAAAAAGGACAATTCAGCCCCAGTGGGCAAGTCACTGTACCCCTTAGAGCCTCGGTTACCTACTCTGTAAAATATTTTGACCCATCTACCCGACCCGGCTGTTGTGAGGGTTAACACGGGATAACGTCTGACAACTCGCAGGCCTGGCACCCAGGAGGTGCTCCAGAAGATCAGTTCATGCTTCTGCAAGAAGGAAGTTCCTCCGAGGTGGGGCTCTCAGTCTGAATTGGCCACTGAATATATCCCAAGATTCTAGAATGTTCACTGGCACAGAGCAGGTACTCAATAAATATTTGCTTAATAAATGAATTTCCTGGATCAGGTTCCTGAAAACAGTAGTGTCGAGAGATAGTTCTGAAAAGAGAGACAAGTCCGAGGTAAAACAAAAATCTGGGGGAAAGAAGGGTTTTCTACCCTCCTCCCCCTTGGAGAGTCACCAGCATACTGAAGGTTCACAGAAGGCCTGCAAGAGAGACATCTGTTTGATTTGGGTTCGCCCAGAGTTCTCCAAAACCCACCTCCAGAACAGAAGAGAGACTCACATGTGTCTTCAGGACCCAAGGGGACTCTGACTGAGACTAAGAAGAAAAGGGACAAGAGATGGTCCCAAAACAGCCCAGGAACAAGGAGCACCCCACCCTCCACACTAGCCCCTGTCCCACCACCACCCGTTCACGGTGAAGTACATTGCATTTTTAAAAAATCAAATGGGTCCTTTAGACCCTACACAACCACTTTGTCTGGACACACGGACACTCTGGCTGCCCCCGAACATTCCAGAACCCACTCGCTCAGCTCAACTTCAGCAAGACCAACCCCAGGCTCCAGGCTCCGGACCACCTGCGTGCAGAGAAACAGCCCGGCCGAGGCAAAGGCCTAGAGCCTGGGGCGGGGAAGGGGCCTCACCACCCGCTCCGGTGGCACTATGTGGATGCAGGAGGAGGGATCTGGGTGTGTGTCCTAGTCAGGCCCCCAGCTCCCAGAGTCCCTGGCGGCTGACTACAGGGAGCGTCACAGGTCACATGCAGCTCACTAGACCCAGAGGCTGCCCGACAACAGACCCACCTCGCGGCGTGCTCTGCTTGTTTACCCACCACGCCTCCACAGGTTGGTGCCACCACCCCAGTTCCCAGAGAGCCAGGGGACAGGAGGACAGGCCACTTGGTTGATTAGCACCCCTCCCCCACACCAGCCAGGCCTCTCCTGGGCACACCACAGGCCTTGCCAGGAAATGATTAAGGAGTATTTACTGAGTATTTCCGGGCAGCAGAGGGCTGCTCCCAGCCTCAGCTCCCCTCTTCTCCCGCAGGTCCTGGTGCCCATTCCCTCACTGTGGAAGAGCCATCAAGGATCTACCGAGTACCAAGTACTGAGTACTGAGTACCAAGTACCAGCAGGAGCCCAGATTCTGGCCAAATGCTGGCCTTGTCCTCGGACCCAGTATGCTGCTGGGCGCCAGGCCTGCTGTCCACAGCAAGTGCAGCCCCACACGGCCACCGACTCAGTCTTCCTCGTACTAGGTGCCCGTTCCGTGCGTTGGAAAGAATCAAAGTGGGCTGCAGGCCAACATGGGCCCAAACGGAGTTGAGTATCACTGTCACCCACCTTCTGCCTCCTGGGGTTTGACATCTTGAAGGCAACCTTGAAAGGCATTCTCAGCAGCCGCTGTGCACAGCCCTTGAGCTAGGTGCCGGGGTTAGGGAGATGGAATGAATGGCCCTCCGAGTGCTCACTCAAGGGGCTCACTCTGAAGGTTCTTCCCCCAAGGCCACCTCCGGATGCATCTCCCCTGCCCACCTCCCTGTCTGCCCACAGCCCGTTTGCCACCGGGACCGTCCTCCCTAAAGGGTGCATTGCAGAGCAGTTGCCCCTCTCTGGCCCCACCAGATCATGAGGTCCTTGGCTACAGGGACACTGCATTCCAGTTGTAGTCCCCTGGCACCCAGCACAGGGCTTGGCACAGAGCAGGTGCTCAGGGGAATCGTGTTGAATGAACAGGGGTGGCAGTCAACATCTTGGTTGGCTAGACCTTCCCGCAAAGCCTCTGATGTGCCAACCTTGAAAACACCACCTTGGGCTGTGGTTAATTCAATTAGCACCTTTTAGAGAGAGGGTGTGGATCAAAACAAGCGGATGAGCAAGGCTATTCCTAGCACGGACTCACACAAAAAAGGAATGAAAGAAATCGGGACAGAGGCTGGCCCGGCCTCACCCCAGGAATGCCTACACCAACACGCCCCACCCCAGGCCCCAAGCCGCTTCAGACCTAGACTCACGAGGCCCCAGAGGCCCCCAAATACAGACGAAGAAAACTGATAAAGCTCGGTCACTTCACCAGAGCTGCCCTAACTCTCTTCCTGACTGCACTTGTCCACGCTCTTCCTAAAGAGATATTTCTTAAAAGCGGAAAGTCAGCTAATTACGCTTTCCATGTGAAGGAGACAGCACCGTGGCTCTGCTGTCCTCCAAATCCACCTTCAGATCCCGGCTCAGCCACCCCCTCCCCATGGGGTCTTGGCAGGTCACTAGACCTCTCTGCGCCTCAGCACCCACACCTATAAAATGAGAAAGCCCGTGGCCTCAGAGTTGGTGTGAAGGTTAAATCAAATAAAGTGTCACCATCAGGGCTTAAAGGTGTCCGTCACCACCCTTCCCTGGGCCCAAACAAAAGTAAGTACAGTGGACCGAACCCCACTCTGGAGCCACCTTCCCGGGTTCTAACCCTAACTCTACCACTCCCAGCTGTGCAGCCTCAGGCAAGGTATCTGACCTCACTGTGCCTCAGTTTCCTCATCTGCAAACGGAGGGAAACAGTATCCTGATCTTGTGGTAAGGATGAGAGCCTGGCACAGGCGGGGCTCACGGGCAGTGTCGGCATCCGTGCCCGTGTGACACCTGGCTACCAGCCCGCGTCTGACCGCTCTGCGCTCCCCATGACAACAGATGTTCACCTGCATGTCCCTGGACCCCGCAGACAGGCAGGTGGCATGAGCAGTGACTGAGACAACGCTGCCCCTCCCACAGTGGAGATGGGTGTCATCTGGCCCCAACAGTGTTCTGATTGGTTAACAGCATGTTGGTTCATGTGATCAATGTTTTTTGAAAGCAAGAGATTTAACATTAAAAAACTGTTTCCAACTTTTCTTAAAGCAATTAGAACAACTGACAACACCGGGTCCCCTAGGGTTCAAAGCCCAGCTCCCATACGAGCTGTGTGGCCTCTGGAGAAACACACAACCCTTCTGCTCCTGAGCCCTCGGCTGTCACACGAGCAGGAACCAGAGACCCCTCGTCGGGTCGTGTCAGGATGAAGTGAGTTGACATCTGTAAGGCAAAAAACCAGCCCCCGGGTGGACAGCGATGACAGACACCAGCACTGTGAACGGGCTTTAACACCGCCAAGTTAATACACTTTAGAAACGGCTAAAACGGTAAATTTCATGTCGTGCGTATTTCCACAGTGGTAATCGTTTCACAATGTCCATGAATAGATGCACAGCAACCCATCGTGCTGTAAACACATATAGTGATGTATGTCCATAACTTCTCAATGAAGCTGGAAAAAAGGCTTTAGAAATGGGGAGGGCGCTCCCCTTCAAACAGGGCGCCTCCCTTGGCCCCTGACCCCCACCGCTGGCGCGGGCTGCCGTCCGCAGCTGCACCCAGCCACGGGAATACCGCACGAAGGCAGTGCTTTAGGACACTCGGGAGCAGGACTTCCTTAAGGCACTCCACCTGAGATCGCAACCCAGCCCGAGGGGAGGCCGGACATAGAAGCCAGAGGCCTTCTGTGCAAGCAGTGCTCGCGGGACACGGGCACAGAGCCGCAGAGCCGCAGCCCCGCCCACGCGGGCAGCCCCGCAGGCCGCGCTCGTGGAGGCTCTCTCATGGAGACGTGCACCCGGCCCCACGCCGCAGAGAGCAGCAAACTGCCAGGCCTTGCAGGTCAGATGTCTCACAGTGGATGCGGCAGCCTCTGCTGTGCCCCGTGGGTCTGGTCCCCGAATAGGCAGCAGTGACCGCCCCTGCCCTCTGCCCTGCCCGCCTCCTGACACGATGCTCTCAGCCTGTCCACCAAGCCCCGCTTTTCATGGAAAGGCCCACCCCTTTCATACACTTGATAAACATCTACTGAGCACCTGTCCTGGGACACGGTGCCCTTGGGGAACCCGACTATTTAGGGAGACAAGAAAACAAGAGCTACTGCAGCATGTGAAGGGCCCGGGGGTGGGAAAGGGCAAGGCACACGGAGGGGCTGCGGGGGACGTGGTGTGGCAAGTGCACACCTGTGTGTGTCCAGAATCCAGAAGTACTGGGGGTTCCGATGGCCTGGGAGCAGCACACACAGATGGGCGTGACCATGGAGGCACGGTGACACTCTCAGCTGGGGAGGTCAGGACTGGAGGCACGGAGCCCTGTCCCCGAAGGCCCAGACATCTCGCTTAATTCGTACAACCACCCAGGGCTGAGGGACTATTCCCACAGCACAGAAGAGAAGTCTGAGCTTGCAAAGGCCCAGTGACTTGCCCAAGGGCGCAAAGCAATGTTGTGGCTGAGCTCAGCCAGCCTTGGCCCAGGTCTGCTGGACTTGCTTTCAAACACCACACTCTAGTGTCCTCACATTTCCATGGGGGGAGCACGTGTTTGACGCTGAAGTCTGGTTGATTATTTTACCCAGTTGGGTTTATACCTTATGTCATTTTGTAGCCCACATCTTGAAATGTCTTCCATCACAAACATTTTCCGGTATCCACCATGCACTCTTTTTTTTTTTAATCCTTACCTGAGGACATTTTTGCATTTATTTTCAGATAGAGCAGGAGAGAGAGAAACATCAGTGTGAGAGAGACACATCGAGTGGCTGCCACCCACATGACCCCAACCGGGGCCAGGGACAAACTGCAATCGAGATACATGCCCTTAGCGGGAACCGAACCCCGGACTCTCGGGTCTGAGGGCCGACAGTAACTGCTGAGCCAAACTGGCCAGGGCTCACCAAGCATTCTTGCAAAGCATCTGTGAGGACTGCCAGCCATGGTTTCAACGATCCCCACTGCTTAACCTTTAGGCGGCTTCCAACCCACGGCTGCTTGTTTTTCTTTGAACCGACCAGCCCACGCAAAGCTCATCTCACTGTGTTCTCACGGGGGGAAACTCTGCAGCCTTGATACCACCCATTGTTGACTTATCTTGGGTGAGGATGAGTAAGACAATGACTTTCAACGTTGTGTCAGCAAGTTTTATTATAGGAGGAACCCTACCCTTTAATCCCCGGCCCACCTCCCAAACTCAGCCTCCCCGGTTTGCCAACGGTAAGTTCATTTGGTCACTGGGTTGGTTTCTCTATTGGTTATAAATGCAAAGAAAGGGGGTAGCAGGTGGAAGCCGTCTGGCAGCCAGCACCTCCAGGATCAGGCATGGTCACCCTCCCTCAGGTGGCCAAAAACAGGAGAGATGCCCTGGCCGGTTTGGCCTAGCAGTTAGAGCATCAGCCTGCAGTCCCGAGAAACCCGGGTTCGGTTTCCGCTAAGGTGCATACCTGGGTTGCAGTTTGTCCCCAGCCCTGGTTGGTTGTGTGGGTGGCAGCCACTCAATGTGTCCCTTTCACATCGATGTTTCTCTCTCTCTCTTCTTCTCTCTCCCTCCCACTCTACCTGAACAAAAAATGGAAAAATGTCATCAGGTGAGGATAAAAATAAAGTAATAATAATAATTATTATTATTATAATAACAACAGCAGAGATGCCAGAATCCAGCAGACACCTGCAACGCTTCCCCAGAAGGAATGGACTTCCCCCCAGCAGATCACCAGGCACATGTCAGAACTCAACCCCTAGAAAACCAATTCTGCATCTATCAGACAGGTTAAAGATAGGTACATTCCCGGAGCACCCTGGGGGCTCACTATTGGAACTTTCACGTCTGAAAGAACCAGAAGGCGGGGCTCAAACTGTGACTAGCTGTGTGGTCTTGGACAAGTCTCTTCCCTTCCCTGGGCCTCCGTCTGGGCCTCCAGTGAACGGTTTGGATGAGATGATCCTTAAGGTCCCTTCCTTCTCTGAATGAGACCCTTGGGCCTGACCAATTTTATAAATGAACAGTGATGGTAAATGAACAATTGGTACTTTATGACGACAACTGATAAGTATGGTCCCCAACCAACAGGTGCTGCCTGGAGGCAAGAGAGCAGAAACACCCAGAGGAAGGTCGTCACAGCTACATCCTCCATCCTCACAGCGAAGACAAAGGAGGACACCTCGGATGGCTCTCTGAGGGGCAGTGGAAGGCGTCTAAGGAAAAATTATCTAACTTGCATCCCCTAAGCCTCGCTTCTCATATTAAGACACATGTGCTTGTCACACTTAAAGAAAAAATTAAGTGGCTGATTCATAACAACCCAGCAAAATACTGCCGTCAGAACCAGAGCAAGTCACTGTGACGCCAGCTCCAAAGGGGGGCTTTCTGTCTTCATTTTCTCTCCGGCAGTGACAAGCTTTTCACAAAACCCAGGCAAGCTGTACGTCAGTGATAAAGGGGACAGGGCCCTGACACTTGAACAAAGACAAGCCCAGATAGGAGAGGCCACCCGAGTGACCTCAAGGACCCAGGAAGGCCTGGCTGGTTTTGAGGTGCTGCCTGGCCACAGTGAGGGAGGGATGCGCTGGGGAGGAGTCTGGTACTGTCACAGGTCAACACCAGACTCTTCCCAGAAACAAAGGCTCAGATTCAAACACTCTGGATTATAACCAGCTCATCAGCCTCTGGATAGGCACTTTCACAGGGCTCAGAATCCCCGAAATGGGCAGGGATGTCCTCCCAAATCAGCTGGCTACCGGCTCCCCAGTGCCCTGGACCAGCCTGCCTCTGCTGTGTGCCCCTGCCCCCCACCTCCCAGATCATCAGCTCTGCACAGTCTGGCGGGTTCTGGTTCCCCCACTCTCTCTCCTCTCCTCCCCTCCGCTCTCCCTCCTCTCCACCGGTCACATCAGCCTTGAGGGGGGCAGGAAGCGGAGAGAAGAGCCCCAGGTTCCAGATGAAGAAGGCAAGGCTCAAAGGAGACAAGATGAGTCCGAGGTCACAAAGGTCATGCCAAGAATCCAGCCCACTCTCCCAACTCTAAAGCAGTGTTCTCTCCAGGTCACATCCTCAACACCAGGTCCTGCGATGCTGCCTCTGAAGCACCTCCCCTCACCCCACCCCCCACTCACACCTGTTCACACACGCACCCCACTTGCTGCAACCTACGGCAGCTCTGCGACACCACTCAACCTCCAGGTCCCTCCCAGAGAGGCCACCGCAATCGCCGAGTCTGCCCTGGGCAGGGGGCACGCTGGCCAGCTCAGAGCCGTGAGGCTGACGTAATCTCATTGAATCTCAGTATCCTCACCTATAAGAGGGGAATAATAATAGACCCTGCCTCACAGGGTCATTTAAAAGAAAAGGAGCACATAGAACTTGCCCTGGACAGACACACACAGGCCTCGGCACAACCCACCTGCTCTGAGACGCCACTCACCTCTCACCAGTTCAAAACCCCACCACACTGAGAACATACGTCCACGAGAAGCCTGTGCACACGTGTTCAGAGAAGCATTCTTCATTACACCCAAAAAGTGGACTTAACCCATCTATCAACTCACGAAGGGAGAAATAAAACAAGGTGCAGCCCTGTGGGGGATACCATGTGGCCATGAAAAGGAATGAAGGGCCGATTTACGCCCCGATAAGGATGGACCTGATGCGAAGTGAAATAAGCCAGATACGAAAGGACCAATTTCATATGATTCCGTACATATGAAATACACAGAAGAGGCCACCTCTTAGACTCAGAAAGCAAATTGGTGGTTGCCCGGAGCTGGGAGGAGGGTAGAACAGGAAATGACTGCTAATGAGTGTGGGGTTCCTTTTGGGGGTAATGACCAAATTCTGGAAACAGGTAATGATGACAGCGGCACGATTCTGAATATTAAAACAACTGAACTGAACACCCTTTAAAGGGTGACTTTTATGGTATGTGAATTATATGTCAATAAAGCTGTCCTTTTTTAAGTGGCCATCAAAACAACGTAACAAAACAATAAAATGATTAATATTTACAGTCTAAAAAGAAAATCCTCCCGTGACGCCTCATTCTCTACAAGACGGAGTCTCAATCCTGCAGACATCCGAAACCTTCAAGTCCCCAGCCGACCCGACGTAGACGCTCTGAATTTGCCAGGTGTGCCCCCTCACCGACTGGAATGAGTCCTCCCTGCTGCGGGCCTGGGCTCCCAACATTCACCCCAAACCTGGCCTCACTTCTCTCCCCACCTCCTGGCTGTTACCCCAAAGCCTGAACTGTCTGTGACTTGGAAGTGTCTCCAGCCAGCCCCTCTTCTCTCTCCAGCTGAACTGGAACCTCCGTACCTGGCCGGGCCTATTCTCCTCCTCTTCGACCTCTCGCCTCAGGCCAGTGTTGTGTCAATACCGACAGCAGGATCCCCAGGATTTCCTGTGTGCTAAATCCTTATCAGCACAACGTTCTTAATCCTGGCCTCCACGGGCACTGTCAGGCTGATTTACAGGTGGGGAAACAAAGGCAGGTGACAGAGGAGTGGAAGGGAGGGAGAGGAGAGGAACCTGATCAGGTAGTGATGCACGAGGCAAAGCTGGGGCTGGAGCGCCACTTTCTCTTCCCTCCGTGCTAGCACCTGCCATCGCTTCTAAGATGTGATCACGGAAGTCTAGATGTCTAACAGGGGCTCGAGAAAATTTCATTCCGCAAACGTCCATCCAACCACCACATGACTTCACTTGAAAGCTAGATACGGAGAGCAGGTGCCCCTAGAATTAGCTCTAAGAAATGAAATACATGCACCTGATCATCCCTGCAGTCAGGTAATACACAGCCAGGCCCAGCTGGCTTCTGGCTGCACTTAGAATATTTCTAAGTGCCACCGGACAAACGCAACTGCAGCACAAAACACAGAGGGATTTGACAGTGTCCTGAGCGTAAAAATACAAATTAATGAATGTGTTAACAGATCACACAAAACAGGCTCTACATGAAACTCTCACGGTGAGAAGGCGGTGTGAGGTAGCCACTGCACCACCATGCTGGCATGTCTGCAAGTATAAATATTAAATTTAAAATCTGGCTTTTGTTTAAATGATGACACCCAGTGCCGGTGTGGGCGTAATGAAACAGCCGACCGCACACATTTTAACGGCCATGTAAACAATGCTTCCCTTTCGGAAAGTCACCTGGCCAGTGGTGTCCGAGATTATAAAGATGCCTGGAAATTAATCCAGAAGAAATCATTTCTGCTTCACAGAAATAAAAAAACTATGTGAAAACATTCATTCCTGCTCTACTTAAAACAGCAAAAAATTGGTGCCACTTAAATCTCTAAATAGGAAAAAGGTTAAGCGAATTATATGCATCCGCTCCATGCAGCATCCTACAGCTATTAAGAATATGGTTATATAGATCATCCATATATCACCACGGAAAAAGTGTTCTTCATTTAGCCTTGTGTCATGAAAGGATCTAAAACTCATATGTCACCCTGGCCAGTTTGGCTCAGTGGTTAGAGTGTCGGCCAGAGAGACCTGCTAAGGGCACGTACCTTGGTTGCAGTTTGTCCCCAGCCCTGGTTGGGGTCTCGTGGGAGGCAACCACTCGACGTATCTCTCACACTGATGTTTCTCTCTCTCTTTCTCCCTCTCTCCCTCCCGCTCTATCTGAAATGTAAAAATGTCCTTGGGTGAGGATAAAAAAAGTAAAATAAAACTCACTATGTCTGCTCTGTGATCAAAATTATTTTAAATAAGAAGCCACCTGGAAAAAATCATAGCTGTAACTACTTTAAAATTATAACAGTTCTGAGGCGGGGATCACTTTTTGTTTTCCTTTCTCTAGCTTTTAAATTTCTTTCAAGGTTGTTATACCACTCTGATATAATTAGGAAAACAAATTAATTTTTTAAGAAAACCTCATGTTGAAGCCCACTGGATCTCACATCAACACTGACTCCTGCCCTCCCCCCCCCTCCAAAAAAACAAAGCAGCCACTTGAAATGTGGCTTTGGCCGTTCACGCTTCTGCTTATCAAAACAGGGCAAATCCTCCCAGAAATGCCTCAGCAAGGTGACACTCAACACAGGCGCATCACAGCCACAAAGCCCCATCTCCAGTTAAAACGATCACAACCAAGAAAAGTGCCCAGGTACATGGGCTGGAAACTGAAGGGCTGATAAGTCGGGAGGCTAGACTGACAATTATTGTCTTAATTTTTTATCGGTCAT